AGTTAAATTTTGATTGAGTGATTTGCTTTTTTACGGCTCATCAACCATTTTCGGGTTATTTAAAGCCATAATAGGATTAGATAGGTTTGCCAATAGGAGCAGGTAAGTTTGCCTATTGCTCGGTTCACACTCCTCCACGATCTTTTGACCAGTAGTAGAGGTTTATTCCTTGTCTTCTGTTTAAGATTGGGTTTCCGGTTCCTTCTAAATTCTACTTCAACTCTATAATTGTAACGACTGCGCCTAAACCCTGAAATGTTATTTACTATTTTTTTTTTTATCAGTAGGGGTAGATAGATTCGCCTATCGCCCGGTTCACACTCCTTCACGATCTTTTGAACAGGGGTAGAGGTTTATCCCTTGTCTCCTGTTTAGGATGGGATTTCCGGTTCCTTTTAAATATTACTTCTGCTCTAAACATGTAACTATACTTCTATTCGCTAAATACATCTTGACATATATACAGTTAGCTGTTATTTTTCTTGCATGACACTAAGAGTTTAACTTCTTGCACTTTCTTACACTAGTACAACTTCACACAGTAACACTCTACCTTGAGTGGCCTCTGGGCCATCTATTAGTTAAACATTAGTAAAAAAAAAATAAATTAATATCTTCACATTGTAATAATGGTTTACTGTGACGTCTTAGTAATTTACACATAGTTTGGGGGAGAGGTGGATCAATATCTTTCCCAAGGGTATTTGCACGTATGTCAGTATAACAAACACGACTGGAATTTGAACTCAGTACCCTGGTTTCCAATTTCAACCCGTTATACACCCTCACATCCAAGCTTACAGAACCTGGTATTCCCATCTATCTAAGTACTGACCGTGCTCGGCATTGCTTAACTTTGGTGATCTTATGAGAACAAGTCTTTCAACGTGATATGACCTTAAGCCGGTTCACTTAAAGCACTGTTTAACGAAAGGTGAAGAGTTTCTAATCTAAACAAGAGCCGACCAGGAGGACTATTTTCTGCAATGCTGACAGTATTTTGTCAGAAGACTTTTTAAAAAGTAAGAAGATAGTAACATCGTATTACGGATGTATCGTGAGAAAATCAGCTCAGAATCTACCATAAAAAGGCGTTGGAGAAAGATTCAGCAGAGAGACTGCTTATCCATTACGAAAATGTTCCTGTCCATTCATCTCACCAAATAAAAAAATAACTTCTCTAAACATTGTGCATTCAATATGGTTGTTTTCCAAACTCATCTTACTCTCGTATAAGACCACAATAATAGGGAATTTAATGAGGATTAAACAGTTTAAAATAACTAATAAGTTTTCATGGTATGTTAACTGTTGTGGATTCCGTGAATGGAATCCTGCACAAATAAATAAACAACGCCAGTAATTGAGATAGAAAAATAAGTGTATTAAACGTAAGAATACAGACTTGAAGTGAAGATTAGTAGTCCAGGAATGCAGGTTAGTAGAAAGTATATATACAAGTCTCTGTAAGTAAAGCCGTAATCATCTCTCTCTCTCTCTCTCTGGACTCTTGTATAACTCTCTGAGAACACCCTGTGTCTGTCTCCGTATCTCTCAACCTGTTTCAACGTATCTCAACGTATCTCCACGTATCTCAACGTATCTCGATATTTAACAATCCACCCACGAAGAATGTATGTGGCACAAGGCCAAGTTTAACGTGGGTTTCTCCGAGCCCGTAGGCTCAGCTAAAAAATATATCCCCTTAAGCGGGTTCGGGAACTACCTCCCGGACGAAACTTTGCTCTTCGGTAAAGCCTCGTCCGGGTTCCTCTCTGCCAAAGTAGAGAGTTCGACAGACGTCGCACACAGCCAGAGACTGTATGTCGACGTATCTTAACAGCAGGTATTCTTTCTGTCAGTATAAGTATACTTTGGACGAGTCCATCTTATGTAAAAAAGGGAGAGCCCCACAACATTAACTCAGTTTAGTCTTGTTTAGTATAGGGTTGCAGGTTTGGACTATCCACAGTGAAATAAGTTAGTCTGTTATGTAAGTTCATTATTTACTATGTAATGGTAGAGGGCACCTCGAGGCGGTGTAATGATTAGCAGGCTTGTCTTGCTAGATCAGTTACTACTGAAAAGTGAGTTCGATCCTCACTGGATGCCCCCATACTTTCGGCCTTGTGCCACATCTAAGCTACGCTTGGAAAATCACTACTATGTTATGGTAGGCATGCTTTGTACTTGTTCTCACTGTCGGGTTTTCCCAGTTCCTGGAGATAATGCCCAAAGTCTATTGTTGGAACAATATCAAATCCTGCCCGAGTCCATTGTTTCCGGTCATGGAACCATTTGGTTTCATTAGGTTCTCTATGCTTATCTCATTTGCTGTGTGTCTTCACCGTTCGTTTCCTAAATTCTTCTTTCCACTCATCCAAATCGTCTACCCACCCCTGGAACGGAAGTGAACTTGATTCCTTGTCTTTGGGGGAAGCATCTTTTCAATCAAGAACCAGTTATGTTGCACTTACCGCACTAGCATTCTCTTGAAAGTTTATTGACGTTTGGGAAATGAAAGGGTTAAACGAAGACAAGAAAAGAGAGAATGAAGAAAAAGAGGCAGGAAGGGAGGGAGGAAGGAAGGGAGGAAGGAAGGAAGGATAAAACGCTTATTGAAGATAAAGGATAAAGCCTTATTCTTAGTTCTTGGGTCGTTAAGTAAGAAAATGTTAAAAGGGGGAGGAAAGAGAAAATGAAAAAAGAAGGAAATATAAGGAAACAGGAGAGAAAAAGGGGGAATAAAGTTTATTGACGTTTGGGAAATGAAAGGGTTAAACGAAGACAAGAAAAGAGAGAATGAATAAAAAGAGGCAGGAAGAAAGGAAGGAAGAAAGGAAGAAAGGAAAGAAGCAAGAAAGGAAGGAAGGAAGGAAGAAAGGAAGCAAGAAAGGAAGGAAGGAAGGGAGGAAGAAAGGAAGGAATAAAGGAAGCAAGGAAGGAAGGAAGGAAGGAAGGAAGGAAGCAAGAAAAGGAAGGAAGGAAGAAAGGAAGGAAGAAAGGAAGGAAGGAAGGAAGGAAGGAAGAAAAGGAAGGAAGCAAGGAAGGAAGGAAGGAAGGAAGGAAGGAAGAAGAAAGGAAGCAAGAAAGGAAGGACGGAAGGAAGGAAGAAAGGAAGGAAGGAAGGAAGAAAGGAAGGAAGAAAGGAAGGAAAGAAGGAAGGAAGAAAGGAAGGAAAGAAGGAAGGAAGAAAGGAAGGAAGCAAGAAAGGAAGGAAGGAAGGAAGAAAGGAAGGAAGAAAGGAAGGATAAAGCGCTTATTGAAGATAAAGGAAAAAAAGTATTATTCTTAGTTCTTCAGTCGTTAAGTAAGAAAATACTAAAAAGAAGAGGAGAAAGAGAAAATGAAGAAAGAGGAAATTATGAGGAAAGAGAAGAGAAAAAGTGGGAATAAAGTAAAGATAAAAATATTTAATGACGACCAAGATGTCAGAGAGAAAAAGAGAAAATGAAAATAGAGAACTGGAAGCCAAGAGAAGAAAAATTCCTATTTTTCTTGGCTTCCATTTCTCTAAGATAAAAAAAAAAGAAGTTTGATTCTTGATTCTTTGAAAGAGTAAAAGAGTGTGAAGGCGATAAATATAAACTTAGAATGAAAAAAAGAGCAAAGCAGAAAAATGGAGGAAGCAAGATGATTTCATAGATACGTCATACTAGCATGGATATGAACATATTGTGACTTAGCAAGGTGGGGATTGGCGAACAACTCTATGCGAAATTCATTGTATAGCACCACCTATTGACAAAAGTATCATATTTTGGGTTTTCTGTCTTGAGAAAGAGCCAAATTGGTTAGTAAACGTTGTTCCAATAACTTGGACCGATTTTAAATGTGAATTAAGTTTAAGCGTCAAATGAATTTTTTTCTTTTTCTTTCAGATTTGGCGGACATTTGGGTGATATTATTTTTCACACATAATTGCCATGACTTAAATAACATGATCCAATAATTTAATAACTAAATCTTCACCAATAACACTGATTTATTTACTGCTGACTTTGATCCGTCTTAATGAAACACCCTTATATATAATCCGTTTTAATGAAACACCATTTATATTAAACTCCAGTTATTCTCCATTCACCTCATTTTTGTCAAAAAAATAAAAAGAAGATTCTTGCAACATGGACCACCTCCAAGTTACGCTTATTTCTTCCCCTTTAAGTTATGAGGGGAGCCTAGTCGCAGAGATCCTAACCTTACGGCAATTCCTTCTTCATTGCATTAAAAATCGAAGGTTAGTAGACATCGACTCGACATGATTGTGGCCTCAGTAACGGGATAATTTGGCCCATGTATACTGAGATGGCCACTCCTCGTTAAACTGACCATGTATTGTATCCATGCAGAGCAGTAGAGGAGGGGAGGTAATACCGTAATTTGTGAAATTGTGAACGCTCAAAAGCTGCATATTTCAAGATTTGGATTTGGTTTGGTATGTTTTACGGCATATCAACACCTCAATGGGTTATTTAATACTGAATTTTTTTTTTATTGCTGGTAATATTTTTTATCCCAAAAATGTATAGCTGGTAATATTTTTTTCAAAAATGTATTGCTGGTAATAATGAATTGCTGGTAATTATTTCTTCTTCAAAAATTTATTGCTGGTAATAGTTTTTTTTACAAAGGTATTAAAACCTATTTTTACACGTCCATAGTGTTTTGACCCCAGTATGGGGGGTTAACTATTTGCCCATAGCTGGGACCCTAACAGGTGCTACTACGCTGGGTCAGGGGGACCTGGGAACACCAGTAATTAAGAGGTGGTTCCACGCTCCTCAAAACCTCCTGATAAGAGGCCTTGCTGTCGGAAGTAGTTTATCGTCTTTACCCAGGACGGTGAAGGTTTGGATTGGAAACCTTGATATATTTATTAGTATAACTTGAAGATTTATAACAAGAGTCAGCTTCAAGCAATAATGGAGAACTGCTGTTATATTCCGGCATTTGATGAAAGTTTTAAATCGTTTCCACAGTCTTGTAGGGAAAGCTCTGCAGTTTCTTTCCCACAGATTATCACTAGTTCCATGGCAAATATTTTGACGAGTTCCCTAATTTAGTTCCACCACTTCAAATATTTACAGTTTGGACATAGCACTGAGTCAAATCAGCCTCGTTTTCTCCGGGCTCCAAATATAAGAAAAAAATGCCAATTTTTTTTTCAAGAACTGTCAATTTATGGAACACAGTATCAATTCATTTGTTACAAGCCGGATAGAGTATTGGAAATAATTTGAGGTCGAAGGAAATGAAACAAACACTGACAGTTTTGTCCAAAACGTTTTACGGGCGGTGACTGAAACCTTGAAGGGAAATCCTAAATCAAATGACGATGAGTTGTCATTTAAAATGCTTTAGAATGAAAGTAAGTGGAGAATTCTATCGTCAACATTCCAAAAACTTTCAGAAGGTCTAGGATCATCGAAAGATATTACATGTAGAAAATTAATTATCTTGAAAAACACACAGACAAACAAAAAAACACACTGAAAAGCAAAACACACACACAAACAAAAAATCACAAAACAAATACACAGACAAACAAAAAACGCACAAACAAAAATAAAACAGACAAACAACAACAACAAAAAAGTACTTGATCTTGTGTGAATGGATGATGGAACAAAAGATTGGGGGGCGGAGTCGTAGCAAAAATGGCTAGGAGCCACACGGGATAGGAAATGGTGGAGAGCCTGATCGCCTATGTCCTAAAGGGACGCGACACATAGAAGAAGAAGAAGAAGAAGAAGAAGAAGAAGAAGAAGAAGAAGAAGAAGATTCATAGGAAAGTGAGAAGATGATTTTGTGCAATCAGGAATTAATACAACTATGAAAGAATTGGGCTATTACAACCATTATTATATTATATTTAAATAAATTATTTAGGCATATTATATTGAAATAAATTATTTAGGCATATTATATTTAAAATTGTTAAAAAAGTTTTCATACACAATCGAGATGTAATCTGAAATATTTATTGAAATAAAACGTTAAAATCAAAATCGTCTCTCTTGTATATATATATATAGTCTCCCTATCTGTAGATGTATTGGAATGGCCAAGGACACATTCTAAAAGCTGGGCAGAGTATTACGAAACAGGAGGATTTCTTTGGTAACGAAGAAAGAATACTGAGCTGTTACGTGACATCTGTCCTTCTTTATGGCAGCGAATGTTGGACGATTTCCTCAAAGATGAAGAAGAGACTCGAAACGACGGAGATGTGGTTCTACAGAACGATGCTAAGGATATCATAGACCGGGCGTGTGAGTAACGATGAGGTCTTAGAGAGGTTGCAAACAAGGAGGAGGCTTATACTTAACATCAGGAAGAGGCAGCTGAAGTTACTGGAACACATAATGAGGAAGGAGTGCCTGGAGAATCTGATACTCACGGGTTGAATAGAGGGAAAGAGAGACAAGGGAAAAAAACGCGTGACATATACGTCCGGCTTAGGTGGATGACAGAATGTGGTCTGGGGGAGGAAGCAGACGGGTGGAACTTTTTGAGACCTGCAAGGGATAGGGGTGGAGAGCCATGATCGTCTCCACCCTGAAAGGACATGGCACATAAAAAGAAAACAAAGAATATATAAAGGAGGCAGGAGGCAAAATTCTATGATCAAATGAAGAAAGTAATATTCTCTCAGACCCACCTATTTTAATGATATTAGTTTTGTTGGTTTTTTTAAATATTGTTTTGTTTTTGTATTAATATTGTTAATTTCTATAACAATTATATTCTTGATTATTTACACTATTTTATTCGGACTATTCTCCTCATCTTTGTTATTGTTACCACATCATTTCGGCCATTGTGCTCTACAGATTAAACTCACAACAACTATGTCACCTGGGTTGGGCAGTGTGTACTTGCACTCAACGCCGGATTTAGAAAAAAATGAGACCCTGCTCTAGTTAAGTTATGAAGCGCCCTGAAGGAGCAGGCAGTCCGGTATACATAGCCAGAAAATTTAGGTGTAGTTAAAATATTACATGTTACTTGATTTAATCATTATTTTTTAACAAGTTTTAGGCAATTTTTTTTAATTATCATGGCTTAGCCTCAGGGAATGTTTTGGAGAGTTTTAAGGCCCAATTCAGGTATAGGTTCTAAGTCAGATATATACATTACAACAAACTTGAAAGCAATTCTATATTAACCAAAGCTCCATCCCGCCCAACACTGTCTTACACATGTCACATGATGAAATAGTCAAACTTGATGAAAAGAGAACAGACAGGACAGTCATTCTAGTCAAATGATGTAATTAAATCTGGACATTAAGTATAATTTTAATCTTTGAAAATTGACAAAATTTTTAATCTTAACTCTTATTAAAAATAACAATCTTAACTCATACAGTGATGATTTTTTTAAGCATTTCACCCCTAGCAAGGCGGGAAGCCACTAGCACGCAAGGGGTTATAGAGGATTTGGAGCGAGAGCAGGTAGGAATGAAAGAGGAAAAGGATAGTGGATAGATCAAGGCAACTGAAGATGTCGATTCACATTACATTTGAATAGTTGCCGATTATAGCTATCAGGGAAACAGGAATAGGAAAGGGAGTTCCACAGGCGAGAGGTGCGAGATATGAAGCTACTGGAGTAGAAGAGGCGGCGACATTTAACAGTTTCAACAGAGAAAGGGTGAGAGCGGGATGCCAGCCTCGTAGGACGCTTGAATTCATGAAGTCTGGGAACCAGCGAAAGCAGCTCATCGGAGCAATTACCATGAAAGTATTTGTAAAAAAGACTGAGAGAGGCGGTGGCATGTCTGTGAGAGAGTGACTGCAGATGAGATGCCAGATCAGAGCCAATTATATTGCATGTTCTTCTTATCAAGAACCCCGAGGCAAACAGAAGGGGTTCCAGACCATATATGGCAGCAATACTCCATGCAAGGGTGAATGGTTGATTTGTAGATTTGAAGGATCGATTCCGGGGAGAAAAATTTCCTGGCGCGGCTCAGGGAGCCAACTTTCCTTGCGGTGGACGAGGCAATTGACTCAATGTATTTGTTCCATCTCAGGTCAACCGTCAACATGAGACCGAGCAGCCGCAGAGAGGTACTCTCGGGAAGTTGAGCGTCAGACATTCTAATGGAGGACATGGAAGGATCTCTGTGGTGATTAATAGAGAGCAGTTTTGTTTTGGAGGCGTTAAATTTAACCAGCCAATTACTGCCTCAGTTCACAACCGATTGGAGATCCTTTTCTAGACGAACGGCCAGGTTAGTTTTGTCAGCG